CCGGGAGCCCCACAACTTGCATTTCACAGCCAGAGTCCCCAGCCCCAGGCAGGAGCCAAAGTCCTACCGGGCGACAGAGCTGAGAAGACTTTGGGCCTATCCCTGGCTTGGAGATGGAGCTTCCAACCAGGGGACCAGCTAGCACCGACTGCGCTTGCGTAGGAGGGCCAGAGATCCTCTCTGGGTTCTGCGAGAGAAGGTGGGACAGCGAGGGAGGGAGAAGATGAAAGCTGGTGGAGAGGAGGGGAAAAGTGGGGGGAGACACATGGACAGGAGGAGCAGAGAGAAGGGAGGAATCTGGAGAGGGGAGGGTCGTAGCAGAGTTGGAGAGAAAAAGCTTTACCTATGGGGCACCCCGAAGGAGGAGGCAAACCTGCCTCTGTACCCTTCTGTAACCCTTCAATGCCCACAGCTCAAGTTTTACCTCCCTGATCCATCCCTCCATCCGATGCTTCTGCAGAACCGCTACGGGGATCACACCCGTTGCCCCCACGTGGAGTTAGGTTTCCTGTTGCTCTGGGAACCAAGCACCCGCAGGTGTTGTCGCTCAGAACTACCTTGGGAAGAGTACATATTCCCCTCTTACAGGCTGGGAAACAGGCAGGCAGGATCTCTGCCTTAGCTCCACTCTCCCAGGTGTTGGGCTGGCAGGGAGAGGGATGGTAAAAGATCAGAGCCCCAGACAGAGCAGACTGCCTGGTGTTGTTGCAGTGTCCCCATCCCTCCTGGGTAAACCACACCCCACCCTAGTGGAAACATCAAGGGCTCACAGTAGTTCCCTGGGTGTGGGAGAGCTGTCCTCATGTGAAGGAAAAGTCCAGCTGGGCTATCAAGCTAAGTCACAAATCTAAGTGTGATAAGTGTCGGTTTACTGATCTAAATTCTGCTGGGCTAACTTGTAAATCTGAAGTTTAGTGTCAGTTTATTGGGCTTCCAAACTAACCCATAAATCCAAGCTCAACAAGTGTCAGTAACGTGATCTATTACAAATTGATAAGCTCCAGTGTACTGATTCCTTGCTTTTTGTTGTTTGAGCCTTATTGTCTAATACCCCCTTACTTGTAATTAAGCCTTTAAAACCTCATGTGCACGTCTTGGAGGTGCTCAGAACTTCGGAGCAGAAGCCCCTCTGAGCCAGCCGGCATAAGAATTCTGAGTACTCCAACACTCCGATTGGTGCTTGTTTCTTGGCTGTCCTGTTTCCGTAACACTCAGCTCCAGTGCCCAGCTTTCAAGATAGATAGGAGTGTTACCATGTCCAAATTCATTCTCCTCAGTACAGGACAGGCCAGTAAGTTGGGAGACCAGATGTTGGGGCATGGAATAGCAAGTTTCTGTAGGCCTAGATGGCAAACTAATGTCCTGGAAAACCATATCCCCAAGTCACAATTCAGGCTCCTTTCCAACGTGCTTGGTTGTTGCAAACTTCTTAGTGTAGGAATCCTTTCTTGTTAGAATCCTTTGTTCTTGCAGCTATCTGCCTGGGTCAGATCCCTGTAAACCTCCAACAAAACAAACTTTATTTTCTCTTCTGCAATTTGTTATCTTTTAATGAATGAAAAAGTGTTAAATATCCTTAAAGGTCAGAGCCTTCAGAATAGGCTCTCCTGTATATTTCAGGCTCTAGGCAACATTGTTTTAGAAGCAAAATGAAGCCTAGGAGACAGAGGGCAGGGTTAAATTCAAAGGAACAGATCTAATATGGAGTCAGATATGTTCTGTTCTATTACTCGGGCAGAAGCCACTTGAGGATTTAAATCCCTTTAAGTTAAAAATAAGTAAAAGTTTTAAGGAATTTACACACATAGGTGGGAATGTGCAAAGCATACCTGGAAAAGCACCCAAAGGATAGTAAACAGTGGCATTTCCAGAGAGGGTTGAAAGAAGAGAGGATGAGGGAAAACTTCTTTCACTTGTGTATTTTTGTGCTCTGTTTGAGGTTTTTTTTTTTAACCATTTGCTTGTATTTCTTTTTCAGTTAAAAAAAATGTGTAATGGAGCAAAGGAGTAACTAGCTTAGCAAATACAGTAGCCATGGA